CTTCTTTTCTCTGGTCTTCAATCTCAGTTGCCGCCATTGATTTCTCAAGCTCTTCTACTGCCATAGTATTGCTTCTCTCTCTAACATCTTTCAATTTTGTTGGGATTTTCAATTTTCTGAGGAAGGACAAACTTGAACGAGGAGAGAGAAAATTGTGCGTGAAAGAGGAAGGAGGAGAGACAAAAAACGCATTTGACCGGGATTAATTGTGGCCGTTGGATGTAATTGATCCAACGGTTATAATGAGTCCTCACATATAAAAGGGTTCTCACATAACGGATTTGGTCTCATATGATCCCATATATATATATATATATATATATATATATATATATATATATATATATATAGAGGAAGGCTCATGTAAGAACCCTCCTCTATATAAGAACTCAATCTTATATAAGAACCAATCTCAACCATTTATTAGTTTTGATCCAACCATCTAAAACCATCCTTTAGTAATGGCATTTCTGTAATTCTTTTTTTATGTTCTAAATTTTTTTGCCTACTCTTATGTTCTAAATCTAGTCTACCTATTTTCTAATTTTTTTTTTCTATGTTCCAAATTTAGTCTACTTATATACTAAAGTTTTTTTTTTTTTTTTTTTTTTTTTTTTTTTTTTTTTTTTTTTTTTTTTTTTCTTCCTATGTTCTAAATTTTTCCAACCTATGTTCTAAAGTTTTTTTTTCTTCTTCTTATGTTCTAAATATTCTTTTACCTATGTTCTAAATTCTTTTGCCTATGATCTAAATTCAGTCTACTTATGTTCTAAAGTTTTTTTTTTCCTAAGTTCTAAATTTTTACTACCTATGTTCTAAAGTTTCTTTAGTAATGGCATTTCTGTAATTCTTTTTTTATGTTCTAAATTTTTTTGCCTACTCCTATGTTCTAAATTTAGTCTATTTATGTTCTAATTTTTTTTCCCTATGTTATAAATTTAGTCTACTTATGTTCTAAAGTTTTGTTTTCTACGTTCTAAATTTTTTCTACCTATGTTCTAAAGTTTTTTTTCCTATGTTCTAAATATTCTTTTACCTTTTGCCTATGTTCTAAATTCAGTCTACTTATGTTCTAAAGTTTGTTTTTTCCTATGTTCTAAATTTTTACTACCTATGTTCTAAAGTTTTTTTTTTTTTCTTATGTTCTAAATATTCTTTTACCTATGTTCTAAATTTGTTTTTTCCTATGTTCTAAATTTAGTCTACTTATGTTCTAAAGTTTTTTTTTTCCTATGTTCAAAATTTAGTCTACTTATTTTCTGCTCATATAACTTAGTGCTAATTTAATTTGTTTTATTGGATTTTTTTTTAAAAAAAAAACATTTGAAGTTTTTTTTAGTTATTTATAAAGATAACCTATGAAGGAATTGAACCTACATCCTCTATGCATTTGCATAATGCTCTTCCAATTGAGCTAATAGGTTTTATCATATGTTCTAAATATTATTTGCATATGTTCTAAAATTTATTGCTTAAGCTCTAAATTTTTCAATCTAAGCTCTAAATATATGTATGTTCTAAACTATTTTCCTATGTTCTACATTTTATTGTTTATGTTCTAAAGTTTTCTGTCCATGTTCTAAATATATATCTTATATTCAAATTTTTTTGTCTATGTTCTAAATTTATTTCGTATGTTCTAAATTTTTTTCATATGCTCTAAATTTTTTCTGTATGCTCTAAATTTTATCCTATGTTCAAAATTTTTTCTACCTATTTTCTATTTTTTTTTCCGTACGTTCTAAATTTTTTCTATCTATGTTCTAAACTTTATCATATGTTCTAAATTTTTACCTTATGTTCTAATTTTTTTCACCGTATGTTCTAAATTTTTAGTATATGTTCTAAACTTATTTTCTATGCTCTTTTTTTTTCCCAATATTCTAAATTTCCAATTTTTTTTCCTATGATCTTTTTTTTCCCAATGTTCTATATTCCTATGTTCTAAATTTTTACTATGTTGCAAATCATTTTCTTATGTTCCAAATTTTTCCTATGTTCTAAAGTTGTTCGTATATTCTACACCTATGTTCTAAAGTTTTTTCTACCTATGTTCTAAAGTTTTTTTTTTTCCTATGTTCTAAATATTCTTTTACCTATGTTCTAAATTCTTTTGCCTATATTCTAAATTTAGTCTACTTATGTTCTAAAGTTGTTTTTCTTTTCTATGTTCTAAATTTTTACTAACTATGTTCTAAAGTTTTATTAGTAACAATGTCAATAATTTGTGCAAAATTTGGGATAGTAGAATGTAACGAGTAAGTAACGGCACTCAATGTAGGAATTAGGTGTATTTGAATCAAAGGTTAGCCGTGAATTAACCTTTCCCTAATATGAGACAATGCTCCAATCGTGTCATTACCGTTACATAATCTAGGTTTAGTTAAGCATAATTAAACATGCCGCTCCTGAATGAGCATAATCCCTGCAACACACAACTGAAAGTTTAATTGACAGTTCATTGTGTTTACTGACCCAAGACGGGAAGTCATCACCTTAACCATTGGAATTCCAATAAGAGGCTCAGACTTTCGAATGCACCAGCTTATTGTCCTACCAAAACAAGACAGTTGAATGCGAAGAATATCGACAACACAAAAATGAAGGCTAAAGCAGTCCCATAATATAGAATGAACTATACTCTTTATTATTGCCAGAAATGGGGAACAAAAGAAAAGGCCAAAGATAAAATAACAAATAGAAACCAAAACACCAACGCCTAGAAACTGCCAAAAAAAACCCGAACAAAAACAGGAAACAGCAATAACAGCAAGCAGAAACAGCAGCAGCAAGTGGAACCAGCAGCACCAACCTACAACAGCAGCAGCAACCAGAAACAGACCTCAGCAGACCAGCTGCACCACCAAACGGACAACAGCAACAACCCGAGCCCAGAAGGCCAGCTGCAGCACCAGACAGCAACACAGCACAAAGAAACAGCAGCTAGCAGGAGACTAGGCTGCTAACACCAAGAACAGCACCAGCAACACCAGGAAACAGCTAGCAACACACAGCAAGGCAGGCATCACAGCCTGAACCAGCACCACAAACAGCAGCCTGAAACAGAGAAAGCCAGCCTGCACACCAAGCAACAGCTGCACATAACAGCACAAAGCAGGAAAGCTGGAGCAGGACACAGATAGGAGCAAGAAACAGAAAAGAGCAAACCCAGCTAGGCAACAACAGTCAACACCAAATCATTATAGTTCACAAAAGAGAAGAGGACCAGTCTAGACCAGAATGGAAGAGCACCACATGTAGCTTCAAAACTTCCCATAAAACAAAATGGAGAATAACCAGAAGTGTTGAACGAATAATGCTGGTTACTTCATATATTTCCACAATGATCAACACCATGTTCTAAAAGAGTTTAGAACATGCTTAAAAAGAGTTTAGAACATGCTAAGCTATGTCAGTTGCTTGCGTATCTTAAAAGTGTATTTTAGATCATAACATTGACATTCTATAAACATATCGACAAGAACAACGTGGAAAGATCAACACCATGTTCTAAATTATTTCAACCTATGTTCTAATTTTTTTCTATGTTCCAAATTTTTTCTACCTATGTTCTAAAGTTTATTTTCAGCCCTGCAATCACAAGTTCACAACCAACAACCCCTAACCAATTAGCTGCTGTTGCATAAATCAACCACCACACCACAACCCCTACAAGCAGGGGCAATCGCACCAACATCACCAATTTCGAAATCAAAATTCGAAAAAATCAGCAAAAATTGAACCCTAAATTCGAACTATAGATCCGCAAAAATAAGAAAAAATAGAACATAGAGAATAAGCCAGATTTGTTTTTAGACATGACGAATTGATGCAAGCAGAACAAGTAATGCCAAGTTGTTCAAGCTATGCTTGCTCATTAATCGAGTTTAAAAGTTTTGTTTAGCCTGAATTGTTTACTTAACAAACAATTTTTAACAGAACTTATTCTTATTCTTGAGTGTATCGGGGTAGGCATTATACACAAGTAGTTGTTACACCATAATTTGGATGACTACTGCTATGAACTGAACTAATGACCAACAAAAAAAGGAAAAAAATAAATGTTTTTCAATTTTAATAACACGAGTTTAATTACCCAAAACCTGATATATTTAATCAATGAATCAAAATTGATACAGAACATTACAACAATGAATATAAGCAGGGAAAAATGGCTGCAAAGCCACTAATATAATCATTGTGCTATACACACTATTGCACAAAAAAGAGAGAAAACAAGCGGTTTGTTGTGTGTTGAATCCTAAATCCTAAATTCGAATACCCTAAATTAGAATCCTAAATCCGCAAAAAAAGAACCCTAAATTCGAACGCGAAATTTGAAAAAATCGAACTCAAAAAAATCAAACTCCATGCGAAATTCATTAAAATCAAAACAGAAAAACGCAAATATCAAATCACAAAATCGCAAAATCAAATCAAAAAATCGGAAACATAAAATCGCAAAAATCAAATCAAAAAATCGCAAAATCTATGAACATCATGCTAAGTTCATGGAAATTTGAACAAAATCGAAAAAAAAAACAAACCTGAGTCGAAAATCCTTCAAATTGCAATTTCTATGGAGATTTTTGGGGTTTGCAGAGAGAGAATGTGATGAACACGAAGAGAGAGAAAGTTAGAGGAGAGAGAAAATTTTGATCGGTTGGTAGAGGGTATAAGGAAAAATACGTGTTTTAATCTTAACCGTCTAAATTACCTTAATCCTACGGCTGAGATTGGTTCTTATATAACTAGGGTTCTTATATAAGGAGGGGTTCTTACCGGATCCCTCCCCTATATATATATATATATATATATATATATATATATATATATATATATATATATATATATATATATATATATATATATATATATATATATATATATATATATATATATATATATATATATTAAAGTTGGTTACATGTGCTACTGTACTAAGTTTTTTAGCTTGACTTTGGTCTATATTCTTTTTTCTAGTTATATATAGCATAAAGCTCATGAAAAAAGCAAAATAAACAAATCAAAGTAATAGAACTGATACAAAAATAAAACAGAGTGGACTTTCAAACTAAAACAACTGCATCAAACTAAAACAACTCAAACACAACCAATTCAGAAAATCATTACCAAACTAAAACAACCTCAGTAACAGTGAAAAATATACAGAGCTACAAACTTAAAGTGATTAATTAGGTAGAATAACCTGATCAGAATTGCAAAACTGGCTGCAACAACGATATTCAAAACTTGATAATTATTTTACATGATATTGCAATTCCAATAGAACAAATGCAGACTAATAATCTACTATACTAGAGCAGCTAAACTGGTCCAAGTAATAATTCAAACAAGAGAGGATAGCCTTGTCGATAGAGCACCACAGTACCTACTCCCGCAACTATACGCTGCTCTTCATAAAATAAGTTAACACTATTGCTAAGTGAGCACTCAGAAATCCCATTTCTTCTCCGCTTTATATGTAGCTCAACACACCATTGCCTATTTCTATGACGGAGTAACACAACAGTACAACCTTGTAAATGTGAGAAATGGAGCGAAGTAAACGAAACTGAAACTTCCTGCCTAAGTATACCAAACACCAAAGTTTTCGAGTTAGATTGCTTAAAAATAAATATGAAATATGAGTTATTATAAAGAAGTCACCTACAATGATTCCTTGATAGATGCTCTAAATATCTAATATATACTTGAAAGAAGGTTCAGGGTGTTCAAGCTGCATAAGATTTAACAGGCCATCCAATTATGAAACAGTCAAAGGGGAGTCTCCTTCAAATTACATTTGTTACAGTAGTTGGTACATTGAGATAGGTCTTCTCTTGACCACTTGAAGAAAATAACTTAGTGTGAAAAACACCTTCACCTTTATGGTACATTATCAAAGTGTCACCAACTTCAATATCATTATCAGAAATAAAGTGCTCCCATCCTTGTTCAATATACATACCAGTGATCATATTCCGAGCATAGCTTTTCCTAATAACAACATCCCATGACAACCCTTCTGTACCACGGATTCCCCCTCCTTGATGATCAGTTAAAATATCATAAAAAATGAATTAGAATTTTCTAAACAATAGTACATAAACAATTCATCAAAAACCAAAAATAAAGAACATTGTTCCACAACTTATTTAACATGAGAAAAAAAACATACTATGTCTTTCTGATGTTCTTCTCCAACTCTTATCTCCCATTTCATTAAAGTATCATTATTCTCCTAATACAGAATTAAAAAGAATAAATATTAATAGCAACATAAACACAGAAACATATAGCTATATGATCATAATTAGTATAAAAAATGACATACTCTCTCCGTGTTTTAATAAGTATTACAGTTTGACTTTTTTCACTATTCACCTAATGGTTTTGACTTGATTAATTTACTAATATATAAAAAAAAACAAATGTTATTGTATAATACTCATTAGATTCATTATAACGTATACTTTCATAATATCAATTTTCCTATAGTTTTAGTTATACATGAATAGATAAATTAATGGTCAAAGTTGTGTCTTGACATACGTGTTTGGTCAAACTGTAACACTTATTAAAACACGGAGGGAGTACCATCTTTGATAGAGTAAGATAAATCCCACAGCTAATACAGTCCAGCATTATTAAACAGCTAACCTTGTCTTTTATACAACAAGATTAAAGACTAGAAATAAGGACAATACCACAATGCTATTCTCTTGCTTACCTTTTGAACTGTAGACATGTGATCTATTATAAAATCAACTGACTACCTAATTAAATAAATATCAGAAAAGGCAGAAATTATATAGAACAAAAAAGAAAGAATTTATGCAGGTTTAAAGACTAGATATACCAAAAAAAAAGCCATAGCTAATACGTACAACTTAATAAGTGATTGTTCAAAATCAACTCAACAACAAGTCTTTGATTAATTCATTCTTAAAATGCTAATTATTATACAGGATATTCTTAACAAACTTATTTCAAAAGCATACTTGCTGAAAGTTTTTTTCATCTGATAAGTAAAGATGGTTCTAAAAATAAAAAGCTATATAAAATTATTCATTACACAAGTTAATGAAGTTCTAGGTTGGTATAAATGAATTAAATAACCACACACCAATCTCCATTAATACGGTAAAAACATTACAAACAACGCAAATTACAGAACATCAAAGATAAATTTCCATTAATACATCTGTAAGCATAAATCTTAAATCACTAAGTCCACTGAAATGTCTAAAGTAATTATTAACCTCTCACAACCAAGCTTAATAACACCAAGACTACGTACCCTAATCCTTGCCTCAAGCAACATCTGAGGGGATCCAAAGAATATCAATTCAAGCCCTTCAAGTCTTGTTTCCAAATCATAGCGAGATTGTTGTGCGATCCTTTAACTATAAATATTCAACGGTTAGAAATTTTTTTATCTATAATTAATGTAAATTAGAAATATAATACATAAACGACTTTAAAATGTGATCAATCACTTTAAATTCCAACTAAAAAAATAAACAAAAAAAAAATATTCTTAACTGAGCTGAAGTAGCATCTTCAACAACAATAATTAAATTATAGTTGTCAAAGAAAAATTCGCTTCACACAATAGTGCATGTGCTATGTTTTTACATCGCTTTGAAAAATAAATATTTAAAACGACGTAATTAAGTAAATAGTTTTAAATACAAAAAAATTGTATGGAAAAAACTATTTACATGAACCGCCACACATCATGCTACTGGCCTACCTCTTATATATGTTAGAATAGTAGTACAAGAAGGTTGGCGGAGGCTAGCATCAACTTCATCGTCGGCTTTAGCCACTAGCATCAACTTCATCGTTGATTTAAAATTATGATAAGTGATAGAAACATATCTATCGGATTTTCAGAAGTCTATTCTGTTGAAAAATAAGATACTTCAATCTTGATGTGTTTATGTGTTTTTGAGCTTTATAATAGCTTAAAAGTAGAAATGTTTGAGGTAATACACTTACTATAACCATGATAAAGTTGTTAGACTATGAAATGATTAATATCAGTTTATAAGGCTTGGAGATGTAGAAGAAATTAAAGATTGTATAAAACTAGAAAGAAGAAACTCAACTTATTTAAAACTGGTAGTATTGAGCTAATTAAAGTGCTGAATAAAATGACTAATTCTTTCCTTTTATAGGCTCTAAAAGTATATAGCCATTACTTTTTGCTGTAGCATAGAACCTTTTACAGTAAGTATGCTACTACAGTTTATAAAAATTGCATACTTATATATCAATTTCTGATTAAAGCATTTAAATTACAACAAGTCTCATAGCATACTTCAATTTATGATTAAAGCACCCTTTTTCAGCACTATTAACAATGGCAGTAATGCAAAACATGATTAAAGTTTCCTTTTCTTAAAGTTGTAAAGTATAGGATTCAGATTATAATTAAAGCCTTGACAAATTATAAGTACCAAAGAAAACCAGAACAATTGCAATAAGAAGGCTACTGATGAAAACTTGTGTGAAATTTCAGTAAATTAATTTACCCCATTATCAATTGATTTAAGTATAATTTTTAATGGCTTTTAAGAGTATTGAGCTCTTTTAAATGATATCAAATCTCTAAGAAAACAAGTGGCCTAACATAAATACTCATTGAAATATCAGCTACAAGTTAAGTTTACCATCCTTTTATTCTAAACTCAAACTAATCACACAAACCAAGTGTTCTAAAATGAACATCAAATCAAAAAAAAAAAAAAAAAGAATTTAACAGCACAAATTTGAATTAAAAAAATTATAGAACAACAATCACATATTCAAAAGCTGTAGCGATGTGAATCTCCAACAAATAAAAGCATCACTAGTAAACTGTCAAGGCTTCCAATTTTGATCAATACAGCAATAAAAAAAATGTGCATGATGTAGCAGGTACATAATACAAAGTAAGCAAAAACAAAAGCATCTATGCAGCATAAAAGCACCCTTTTCAGCCCACAGATAATGTGAAGCCTCTTTATTGTTCTTTATGCTGGTGAAGCACAAATTTTCTTTGTTTATGCTGTTTTGACTATGCTTAACAATAAAAAATAATATAGCAGCATATACTCAGATTAGCTGTGCATTATTTGGGATAAAGATTAATAGTGTTTCTTGTATTAAATAATAAAAAATAACATAGCAATAAGAAACACTATAGTATGTTTAAAAAGTTTAGAATTGCTATTGATCTTTAAGTTGTTCTGAGTACGCAATTAATTAAAATTAACCAATTGTTTATCATCACAGCGTATTCCACTTGTAGTCAATAAGATTCCACTACTACAATATGATTCCACCTCACTAATTCAAAAAATTCAGACTTCAAGCATAGCCTTAATCTACAAACATTACAAAGCTTGGAAAATTCAAACTTCAAGCACAGCCTTAATAAATCAGATTCCACTACTATAACATGATTCCACTCCACAACCTTCAACCAAAGAAAAAACAAAACAAAAATTGAACAGATCTACAAAGTGCTGCACATAATCTTTTTTTTTTTTTTTTTTTTTTTGACAAAGCTGCACATAATCTTAAAGCACTAAAAAAAATCATTCAAAACAAAGCTTTAATAAATTTAGTAAGTAAGCATTATTTAGGCACAAACATGTCCTCTTCAACTATTAACTCTGATCAGCAAACCTGTATATTGATTAATCAACTTTTTCAAACAATTCACTGAACACGATCTTCAAGAATCTATACCATATATAATGAATCTGAAAGAAAATCTTTAAGCAATCACTAAACATAATCTACAAACGTTACAAAGTAAAAGAAAATCTTTTGGAATCTACGTCATTATTAAATACAACCAATAAAATATATGGAAATGTGCCCTATCCAATTATACTTATATTCTGACTATATATACAAAACTTGATATCTACCCTATCCAACTACACAATACCAAAAGGGATAAAAAAACCATCTCTAAATATAATTTAAACCCATATACATCTACTTCTCATTACCTAACTTAGGAAATGTCTCAAAAATCAAGTCAAAAAAATAATAGCTCCCACCTTCCTCTTATCAACCAGAGATCAATAACAGCTTACCTCAAAATACCATTGCATCATATAACCTATGAATCTACACTTAGCATCAAAGTTATTGCTAATATGGGAAATTAGCATCAAATTCGAAGCTAATGTATCCCTAAAAGGTATTCTTTAATACAAATATGTAGCTAGCGGTTAAATTTACTTCATCAGAAACATAGTTTGTATTAAAGTTTTACAACAATTATTTAGGTGTATTGTCAATTAAAATTGCAATATGTTTAGTGGCAATTACACACCTAAATAATTACCAACTTCGACATTAAAGCAAATGGAGTTGGTGTTTACATGAAATAAATGGAGTCGGCTTCCACCAAATGGAACAAACTTCATTGTTATCAACTAAAAAAAGAGTGATATTCGAATTGAAACTTCATTAATGAAATTTCTGTATGGAACTCTCTCCAATCCAAAATTCAACGACTAAAATTTCACAAAACTATTGTAATACAAAACATATTGTGAATTATATAGTCTCCTTGTATAATGAAATTTGTAATTGATTTACTAGACATTTGAAGCTTTTTATATTTATCAACTAGAATACGGCGAATTCCCTGTTACTCACTGTGAGTAACAAATTTGTTACTCACAGTGGCATTTCGGAAATTAAGTGGAAGTTTTCCACTTCCTGAGTTGTTGAGTTGGATTCGTCTATGTGTCAAGTTGCTTAGTGTACCTATTGTTGAGTGGGGACATCCTTCCGTCAATTTGTTGGAGGGATGGCGTTAACTTCCTCACGTTTTGGCGGGAAAATATTCACATACCCAGAAGCTTGTTCAGAGAATTAGCAGGTAGTTTTCTGTTCTTCACACATCGCCGAATTGTACATACCCTGTTGAAAAATCACGGACATCTTTGAATTACGGGGTATTTTTCTGATCTATTTTATCGTCGCTAGTTGTAGTCGTGAGTTTTGTTCTGTTGGTGTCCATGCGCCCAAAATTCATGAAATTGAATTCATAATTTCGACCGAAATCGGAATAATTTTGGAAAGTAATTAGATTTTAAGGACTATTTCCTTTGTTAAAATGGGGTTGAGGTTGTCGGAAATGGCCGGAGGATTTTGTTTAAAATGCAATTTTTTACTTTTTGAAAACAACGTGTTTCGTATGTTTTTTAAAAAACCCCTGTGTTGATTTGTTAGGTTATGTGAAAATTGGTTGTGTTGGTTGTTCAATTGGTTGGTTGATTTGTGTCGATTGGTTGTATTTCTGTGTTGGGTTGAACGTGTGCTGTGAAAACATGTTTGGTTGATTTGTGTTGAATTTTATATTATAATGATGTTGGCGTTCTGTATTAATTTGTATCGTAGTAATTATGTTGGTGTTCTTTTTTTGAAGGGTGAATTGTTTGTGTTGGAGAAAATTGATATTATGGAAATGAAAACAGAAAGCGTTATAAGGGGTAGTGAGGTTGGTGTTGGTGATTGTGACAGTGGAGTTAAGTTTCGGAGTAACGTCCATATGGAGGAGGGTATAGAAGACGTAGATGATGCAGGTAGTTGTGCACTTGACATGGATGTTAGGTATTTATCCCCCGTGGAAACAATTCATACGACTCACACTGTAGTTGGTAGCAACGAAATAGTTGTAGTTGTTGAGGAGCCTAAGGAAGGGATGGTTTTCCAGTCTTGGCAAGACGTTGAAGCCTACTATAAGGACTATGTTGAGCAGATGGGGTTTGGAGTGACAAGGGCTCAAGGTGTAAATTCTAAGACGGGGGATAAAAAAAAATCAAAGTCACGTGGAAGTGTGAGTGTTGGGGAAAACCCGACATGAGGGCTAGGAGGAAGCGAAGAAGAGGGCAAAGGTAATGGGTCTTGGAGGTTCAGGTGGTTTAGTTGATGGGGTGGTATGTGAGGATGAATTAAGTGGTACGAAGAGGACTTCGAAAAAGTACAAATGTTAGGCCCGTGTTTATGCTAAAGTTAACGAAGATGGCTTGTGTGAGTTGAAGAGCGTGGAACTAAAGCATAATCACGGGATTGATCCGGCAAATTCTAAGCTTGTGAAGGAGTACCGCATGAAGCAAATGACCTCCGAATTGAAGAAGAGGCTTGTAGATTTCTATGAGCAAGGTGTACCAATTTCTCAAATACACAGTTGCATGGCGACCGAACGAAAGGGTAACATGGATCTCACAGTAAAAGATTTACAACATGAGGTATACAAGGCTAGGCGGTTAAAGATGCTTGGAGGGGACTCAGTGGCAATGATGGAGTACTTTGATAAAATGCCAACCGGGAACCAAAATTTTTTCCATGCTTAACGCTTGGATGAAGAAGGAGGCTTAAGGATGTGTTGTGGGTGGATGCAAGAAGTAGGGTAGCTTATGAGGACTTTGGTGATGCGGTTTGCTTCGACGCAACATACCTAACGAATGAGTACGAGCTCCCATTTGCGAACTTTGTTGGTGTGAACCACCATGGGCAATCGTTGTTGTTGGGATGTGCTCTTGTTTCACATGAAGACTGCGATACGTTTGCGTGGATATTTCGACAGTGGTTAGCTTGCATGAACAATCGAGCTCTTAAAGCCATATTGACCGACCAAGCGGCAGCTATGCGGAGGCCCCTTGCTGAAGTCATGCCGAACACGGTGCATCATTCGTGCATATGGAAAATCATGAGCAAGATCCCTGAGAAACTTGGCAAGTGTGCACTGTATGTTGTGAAATTCCTCCTCCTGGCTTTACAATTTTCAAGGTCTTGATATTAGTTTGAAAGGCGTAATAATCTGATTCCCTTATTAAAGACAAGTTAACTTGTTGTTGCTGTTCTGCTGCTATCATTTTTGTCTAGTTACAAAGAGTTCGTCAACCCCCTCAAAGAGCTGGTGTATGAGAGCTTTGACCCCGACGAGTTCCAAACCCGATGGGCAGAGTTTATTGCTGAGTATAAGTTGGAGGACAATGAATGGCTACAGAGCCTACGCAAAGAGAGTCGTATGTGGGTGCCTGCGTACGTGAAGGAGTTTTTTTGGGCCGGTATGAAGACCACACAAAGGGTGGAGAGCATCAATCGGGTTTTTTACGGCTATGTGAACCGCAAAACAAAACTCCATGAGTTTCCTCAAAAGTATTGCATGGCCTTGGATCAACGCGTTCGAGATGAACTGAGTGCATATGCACGTTGCTCGAAGTACCTTAGGAGGTTGGTTAGTGGATTCAAAGTCGAAAAAATATTCCAAAAGTTATACACGGACAACAAGTTTCAAGAAGTTCAAAAGGAGTGTACAAGAATGATGTATTGCAACGTCCGTGGAGAGAAGGTTTTGTCTGAAAACCTTATTCAGTATTCGGGGGTCGATCGTGTATGGATAGTACCTCCCGGTGCGAGTGAGGATGTCATTACAAACAGGCGAAGAACCTATAATGTTACTTTCTGTCCAATGACAAAGGAGGTGCAGTGTGACTGTAGGAAGTTTGAGACAAGTGGCATACTTTGCAAACACTGTATTAGGATTTTGGATGAAAACTTGGTTGAAGATCTACCAGAGAAGTACATTGTAGACTGTTGGAGGAAAGACATACCCCGGAAGCATACTAGGGTGAAGGTGGCCTACCATGATCCGGGGGACACGGTAAATGTGAAGAGATTCAACAAAGTGATGCGAATATTCGAGCCCTTATGTGAAACTGCTGCCTTGGTGGACGATCAAACGGTCCATATGGTAATTGAAACACTATCGAAGCTTCAATTAGATGTTAATGAGCGTAGGGACAAGAAGAGTAAGGAAATTGTTCCTGTAGTTAGTACATTGTCATCAGCCACTGAAGGCAGAACGTTTTTCTCAGTTAGGAATCCTACTCCTGATGCTACTGCCGTAGACTCCTGTCCAGCTGCCATGGACCTTGTTATCAAAGACCCTATAATTAAGAAAAGGAAAAGGGGCAGGCCTAAGGGTTCAAGGCACAAAACGTTAGCTGAAACTGGCTACAAGAAAACCAACACGAGTAAGAAGCCTAGCCTGGTAAGATTTATGCTTTCTTCAATATTTAAAGGGTCTGACTGCTTTTCCTGTTATTATTTTCTGACTGCTGTTATATCTATATCTATATCATACAAGAGCATGCAGGAAATGGTGTTGAGGAGGATGCTGGAAGTGGTGGTGAGGAGGAGGATGCAGCAGCAAATGGTGTCGGGCAGGATGCAGGTGTTGAGGAGGAGGAAATGGTGTTGCAGGATCTGTTATTTAGGAGGATGCAGGAAAAGGCAAGAATGGCAGAACCCGGTAAGACAAAGGGGAAGACAACAAATGCAGGAAATGGTGTTGAGGAGGATGCTGGAAATGGTGGTGATGAGGAGGATGCAACAGCAAATGGTGTTGAGGAGGATGCAGCAACAAATGGTGTTGGGCAGGATGCAGGTGTTGAGGAGGAGGAAATGGTGTTGCAGGATCTGGTGTTTAGGAGGAGGATGCAGGAAAAGGCTAGAATGGCAGAACCTGGTATGTCAAAGGGGAAGACAACAAAGGGGAAGGGGAAGGGGAAGGCAAATACGTCTTCTCGGAAGCTACCTGTAAGTTTCAATACTAAATTTATGTCATTTCTACCTCAGTGATTATTTATATGACATTGAACACATCGCACCTGTCACAGGTGAAGTAGAAACGTCTTGATAAACTAATGGCCATTTCGTGACCATTTGAGTTGTGTCGTTAAATTAATATACTCGATTCTGAGCATGATTAAATACGAAGAAAATGTAGCTTGTTGTTACGGGAGCATATGAAGAACCGTTTATTGTTTGAGCATATGAAGAAACAGATTACGGGGTTTAATGTTTGTTTGAGCATATGAAGAAACAGATTACGGGAGCATATTCTTTTCAATAGTTTGTAAAACTGTTAAGCATCTGAAACATGTAAGAAAAATCATCACATTTGTCTTTGAGATCATTTTCAAGGCGATGAATATATATACAGACAAAGGTTCAAGGTCTTGATCATTTTCAAGACGGAGTAAATTGATTCACTTTTTAAAAAACGAGACTTTAAATGCTCTGAGTATCTCTGATTTTCATGTTTTTACATGTAAACATGTAAAAACAAAAGTAGTAAAAACAAAAGCAAAATAAGCATAACATAGCACACCTCAAAATTCAGGATACTATCTAGTGTAGACAACACAAACTGATCAAGTTCAAACAGCACAACCCATAGTCCTACAAAGACATATACACCGAGTCGGTTAATACACATTATTGTACATAATAAGATCATCATTGGAGGAATGGAATGTAAATGACAATATTCCAATTGTTTGTCAGGCCACAAACACCAACACATCACAGTTTTCACGATGTTTTCCTAGGACCTGGAATTGCATCTCCCAGAAAGTCTTTCAATTCGTTCACTTCACATTGTACGTCGTCCAAGAACAGATTTGCCCGAGCATTAGGTATCTTCCCCTGTAAATGTAAGAACAGAACAAACACTTTAGCCAACCATTCCAGAGATCTTCACACAAAAAACAGATATATACACCACCTACCACACTAAACCTCGTGGTGAATCTTCTGGCAAAGAACTTAATACACGCCAGCATAAGAACACCGCAGTATGGGCTGCATATTGGAGGACAACAATCAATATGAAAGCTGAAGATACGTTCTCTTGACCTTAAAGGTAGGCTGATAGTTATTGGCACAGTAAGCAAACAAGGAAACAAAAGTTCTTACTTATCCTTTGGCTCTAAGATCTCAACAGTGCATCTGCTCCAAGAATGTAGCTGACCAGCCTTCCATGCTGGGTCACGGAGTCGGAAAAGGACGTCAATGCCACTAAGCTGTAGTTTGACAAACACATTACACATTACCAAATGGTCCCAATAAATACCATGTTTGTTTAGAATGAAAGTCATTAGTTTTAGTACTAGAAGATCAGTCTCTTTGGCATGTGTGGTGAACGGGTCAGGGTAAATCTATCATCCACAACTGTTGAGCCTTCATGTGTAATGCTAAGCACCACCAGTGCGACTTGCCAGGGGAATCTTGAGGAACTTCGAGGACTGGGACAAAAACCTGGTTAATTGACAATGTCAACGCCGTAAGCACAATTTAGCGCATATGCATGAAAAACACATTTAAACCTATATTATTGAACTATGTGAGTAAGTTGCTGACCGCTCGAATATTCGACAGGTTAAAGGTCAAGAGAAATTTGGCATACTTGTTACAAATATGTTCTTCTTTTCCTTCGTTCAACAACAGTCGATTCTACGATCCAGACAATAAAAACAACAAGCATGACCATCATCAAATGTGCACGTAAATATGACACCTCAAAGGTGAAATGAACTCCGAACCACTTACCGAAAAGCTTGGATCAAGCAAAATACGCTTGCTTCTGTTCCAAAAGTCTTTGGTGGCCCATTGCTTGGTGTATAGCACACTGGCCATTCTAACGTAATCAGTGGAAACCCGCGATTTATTGTGCACCACTTCATAGCAATCCCTCTAGTTGGCTTCCATGCAATCACACTTTATCATCACCATACCAGGGCTTTATGGTGAACCATCATCATAACACCAAGTATACACATAAACATATTAGAATTTACAATTAAAACAAAAACTTTGCAAAAGGCATGCACAATAAAAAGACCTTTCACACTCAATTACACTTTCCTGAATTACCTAAGTGGATCCTTCAGGTCCTTCCACTGCTTTACAAAATGCAGCAGACGTGTCTCCAACGCTGTATGGCGACGGGTGTTTGACACATTGGTGAACATGGCTGACAAGGCTGCCTCGGTAGGTTTCACCACCCTCTTATCAGCAGACTCATCTTCCTCATCAGATGAAAATGACTTTTCCAAACTGCACCGAGCATCAACCAAGACAGTCGTTCCCCTCGTCCCAAGCAAGCCCACAACTATTTTAGGTCCAGACTCCACGTTCCCATCTTCCACGTCATGATTAGAAAAACAACCATTTAACTCTGAGAGAACACCCTCATCAGCCCCAACCACCTTGGATTCATCCCCAACCACGTTGGCCACACCCCAGCCTCTACATATAGTGGATCAACCGATATATTTCGAACCACACGGTCCAGGTCATCTTCACCGGAAACAACATGAGCGTGATGGTCTTCCCTACCAACTACGTTTGCACCTTCTTCCAGTTGTGTCTTCCCCAACAAACAACTGGCCAAACCCTGTTCTTCATGCGCAACACCATCCTTCTCCGTTCGCTTACCCTTCTCGATTGCCCCCCTACTCACTCTCTGGGCATTAGCTACGTCAACGCACTACGACATCAGCTTATGCAGTGATTTCATAACGTCAGCTAATTTAAAATCTATCAGAGCCACCAACTTCGTAGTAATTCTATCCGACACCTTCAGGAAAGCATAAACACAAACTATTAACAACTGCCATAGCACGTGTCACTTATTTTTTATACATTACAAAGCTACATATGAAAGTATCATTGACTTGGATTATACCTGATGTGTAATATTTTCTGCGTCTATCAGAGCCACCAACTTTGGAGTAATTCTATCCAACACCTTCAGGAAAGCATAAACACAAACTATTAACAACTGCCGTAGCATATGTCACTTATTTTTTACACATTACAGAGCTACATATGAAAGTATCATTGACTTGGATTATACTTGCTGTGTAATATTTTCTGCGTCTACCTCCCGCGTAGTCCGTTGCACATCTACGCTTTCCACCCTTTGGTTTTGACCCTCCCGAGGACTCAACGGATGCGGCTCCCCATACGCTACATTCAGCGACTGAAAAAGAAGCAAACACAACAACTTCAGTAGGGATGTATTCCTATCAAAAGAAAGTCAAACTAATACTAACCCGCAATTTCCCGAAATTCCCAAATTGTTTTTTGTCATCGCCAACCACCTCATTGATCTTTTCTTCGCACCATGCCTCCAGTCTTGGTCTCACATCCCACCTCATTGGTACGCGACTGAGGTAATCTAAATAAAAAAATCTACAAAAAAAGGACACGATAGAAAATTAGATAAGATTACTAAATAAGCTTTTGATCTAGAGTGGCAAATACCAACAATTTACTCACCAACAAAAAAAGGATACAACCCACGCAACCTGCTACATATCCATCACAAGCAAATTTCCTTTGGAAACCCCTGGCTGATATAACCATCCAGTTAAATACATAAGCGCACCAGTCATATTCATCCGCTTCATCATAAACCAACAACGACGGTACAAGCTTCACTCCAAGGTAGCTTGTGTTTGCCGTAGAACATAGTATGCAGCCTAGAGCTGCTATGAGAAAGCCTATCTTGAAATCAGCATTCCCGTCATCCGGCAACGACAACACATTACCTTCCTCATCCTGTCTAATCAGTGCCTCCAAAGCAGATACTAATGAAATGTGTTCCTTTCTTCCAAACTTCTCCAAGATTCTGCGATGCTCTTCCTGTTATCCTCAGGAATCGTACACGGCAATTCCCGCGACCCCATGGGAATCCCAAGTACGTACTCAACCTACACAGGACTCAAAGGAAGCACACACTCATCTCCAAAAGTTATGGAACCATCAGCCATCACCCTTGTCAACATCCAATACACAAACTTCCGGGGTACATAAGTCAGGGGAATACTTAATAACACTCCAAACCCCATTTTTGTGACCACCTTCTTCCTAGAGTAATCAAACTTATTCACTGCAGTTGCAAAAGCTTTCACACCATGCAAATTTAGGGCCTACAACAATACATTCAAACAAGACAAATGACCGATTACATTCCTTCTAAGTTACACTTAGAACCAAATCACAACAAAAACTAAATATAAACTAATTATACAATCCCATTCAAACTACTTGCGAAGTTGCGAATATTGTCCAACGGAATTTAACTTTACTTATGGACTCACATTAGTCATACTTAACTTACGACTCAACTGCAATTTACAATTAATCTTTAGTAATTCAGTTCAATTACCAAACAACTCCCTTCACTATACAAATGCCCAACCACATAACTAACCATACATTTCCGTGTCATGGATTTCAACAAATAAAGTTCAGAGAGTACCTTCTGCGTACTTCTTGATTGGGTTTTAACGACAACCCCTTTCTCCTTCACCACGTCTCCCTTCGTCTTCTTGACCTATACATGACATTACACATTTCATTTCTCCATCCAAGTGTTACACATCCAATAAGCTTTTACCATTTCCATCCAACATGACATACCTTTCGCTTGCCCCTTTTTCCTGTCCGTTTCTCAATATGAGCTCGCTTGCGCTTCCCTTTGTCAACCCCGACCCGCAATAACTAGATCAGGAAATCCTAGTAGCTCATTTTGTCCTGTTCTGGTTCGTCCTCACTACTTTGACCATCGTCCTTCGCATCCTCATCTTCCTCATTATCGACAGATGAGGAATCAACATCATCAGAAAAAGCTTCATCAGTACTAGATTCAGTATTACCACGAGCATCATATCCAGGTTCATCAGAGTCCTTTAAATACTCTTCCTCAAAAACTGGATGTGATTTCAGTTTCTTCTTCCCTTTACTAGCTGCTTTCTTATTAGGCACCGCTTCGTTCCCTTTAGACTGCC